AATATCTACGTGCGGGTGCATGGAAAACACTTACAAAATATTCACAAAACCCATCTGGTAGTACATCTGCCATAAATAATCAATGAACAGAGTTCGGTGTTGAAATACCGCAGAACCCCCAACACGCACGTATAATTTTTTTCTCTTAATGAGGGTGCAATATTGAAAACCGTTTGTGAGCAGCTGAATATTTTTAAAACAGCAACCTAACTACCCTTTTCAGTAAAGTTATCTCTATAATTTAATAATAGGTTTATTAATAGAGTCTCGTGCCTTACGACGAATACTACAACACCTATTATTAATTTTCATTCTCACCTGCGACCCAATAACATTGTATTTTCATTCGTTTACACACTAATGCATCAAACGAACATTTAAAGCATCTGCCGTTCGAGATGATAGAGTGCATCATTGTCTTTGTGCTCTGATGCGTTCATGGGCGAGACAAAATTTTAGCGTGACTAATGTAAATCTGGTTCCAGACCAGGTTGTGATTTACTTATATATGATCGGTTATTATCAATCAACAGTACTGTTTCATCGTACAAAAGCAGTTATTCCAATTCGCATAATACTCAATTGCAAAAGAAACGGGTTTCCTTGCAAATGAGATTCACGAATTTTAATGGTGTAAGCATAAGCAATTACACAATGTGGTCGCATTCCTTTTTTTTTTGTAAGACGAAACTGGCTGGACGCATTAAAGGCGTAAATCTGAAAAAATACGTTTATTTATAGGCACTTTTAAACTACCAGCCATTAAATGTAATCTCTGAAAAGTGTGCGGTATGAGGCGCGTGTTTTCAACATGTGGAGGATCCAAATTGATGGGTCGTTCTTTGAATCGCTCAGATTGAGAAGTTCTCCGAAAAATAGATTATGCAAGAATTTGTAACGAGACTGAAGTTATTAAATTAACATTGTAATAACTGAAATAGGAGGTTTTGGGTCAAATCCGCGTTCGCCCAAACTGGAACGTGGGGACCTTCCGTCCCTTCGTGTATCCACTGATGCGCATTTTATTGTTAAACGACTGAAATGTATGTTAATTTATGCCAAATTCACTGAATGTGAAGAAATTTAAAATTTAATAGTTTTCACCTGTTACGCTTTTAAAATGCAACAAAGTAAGTAGATCAAGTGACATCTTCACAGATTTTAACGTAACGTAAAGGAATCCTGTATTTATTTATAAAAGCTCTATAGGTAGATTATTAAAGCCCTTAATCTTCTTAACTACCTGTTTTAAAATGGTTTTGTCGTTCGATGATAGAGATCTGGCCTGCGTTTACAACGAACAAGTAGCTCCTTATCTGGTTATACGTTTGTAAGTAGTACCTGCAGATACTTGATAGGTATAATGTTATTTGAATCTCTTTATAGAAAACGGTAGTTGGCAAAGTGCAATTCTTTTCGCATTAGCTGTACATTGTTACTTTCTAAGGTAACGGATCTATTCGTTAATTTCCCTTCTAACAAACAGACCGAAACTAAAAGCAATTTGTTTTTCCGGTAATGCTAACTTCCGGTCTAAGTCGGTAATGTTGTGTTTCTACTTATGTACATACGCTATATAATAATAACCGTTGGAAAATGTATCATTTAGATAAACGCTTCCTAGCAAATCTGTATTATTTTGGAACTTTTGGGCATTTGTAATAGTTTAGTGCTTGGTTCAAAGGTTTAGGGTATAATTACGATTTATTTTCCGCTAGCATTAAATTCAAGAATAACAGAATTGAAGACAAGTGTAACAGAAAACCGCAGCCTCTAAAAATTCCGAACATACCCGGATGACCACAGTCCAATGGAATTGCACCACTGTACATCTAGTTTGATAGTTTGGGTGTAAATATAATAGCGAAATTAAAAACCTGACAAGGAATTGCAAAAAATAATCATAATTAAAATGAGGGACTAGACCCCTAAAAAATTCCACAAGCATAAAGGAAGAATGCATCGAAGCAGCTAAGCAACCCTTCTCCGTAGAAACATCAACTCACTTGCAAATCGAGCTGAAATCGAACCATTAAGTTTACAGGAAAGATCTGCATCAGAATAGCACATCAGCTCCAATGCGATGTGGGATCTCATGGATGTGCAAGGAAATTCGAGGCAAGGGATTACCCCATTTTTCCAAATAAACCAAAGTATTTCGTTTGTAGACTAGACCTCCAAAGAAAAAGGCAAATTTATCATCGGTGTTCCCAATTTAAGTGGTACATACAAACATATGTAGCTTTTTTGATATCCTTGAAATGCATGTACGAATCGAAAATATAAAATTTAATTCTAGTATCCAGCAAATGTGTTTGAATGGTTAGGCATTCAAACTTAATGCGTAAATAACAATGTTGATACTTGTTTTGCTAAATTCACGTTATCATATAATTAGTTAATCACTGAACTATATAGTATAGTTCAGTTCAGACACTCAGGAATTAGCAAGTTAAAAAGTAATCGTAAACGATTTACATAAAGCGCATTTCCACTTGCATTCATTTCCCATTTGTAAGATGCAACTTCTGTTAAAATCGTAAAAATCCGGCCACAAATATGAAAGATAGCGTTGCACATGGGCAATCCATTTTTGACGTGCTACTTCAATTTCAGTTTATGAGAAGAATTTCATTTCAATGCTTTTCTAAATAAGAAAGTTGGAACTGCGCATGCGCAAACCTAAATTTTAAAACTAATGTTAGATTTTCCTTTGTTCCAAGCGCCTAAGTATCAAATTTCACTTAAATAGTTCCATAGATAAAAAAGTTGGCACTGCGCATGCGCAAAATAAAATTTTGAAATTGGCGCTAGATTTTCCTTTATTCCAAGTGCCTATGTATCAAATTTCGTTTAAATTCTTCCATAAATAAAAAAGTTGGCACTGCGCATGCGCAAAACCAAATTTTGAAATTGGCGTTTGATTTTCCTTTATTCGAAGTGCTTATGTATCAAATTTCGTTTAAATTCTTCCATAAATAAAAAAGTTGGCACTGCGCATGCGCAAAACCAAATTTTGAAATTGGCGTTTGATTTTCCTTTATCCCAAGTGCCTATGTATCAAATTTCGTTTAAATTCTTCCATAAATAAAAAAGTTGGCACTGCGCATGCGCAAAACCAAATTTTGAAATTGGCGTTTGATTTTCCTTTATTCCAAGTGCCTATGTATCAAATTTCATTCAAATACTTTTATAAGTAAAAAAGTTTGCAATTCGGTTTATAAATGGTCGAGATGCGAAAAGGGCACTGTGAATTTTGAATCGATTCGATTCAACTTTTGGCATTGCGTATTATATGGCTAAAGCTATGCCCATATTGAATTTCATGCAATTCAGTTCATAACTAACGGAGATGTAAAAGCGATCGAACATTTCTAAACAAAGTTATCGTTCACACGGACAGATAGATGGACAGACAGACAAAGGAACAGACGGAGAGACCAACCGGCAGGCGACAGATAGCAATGCAAAATTATAAACGATCTCTAGGATCGTTAATAAACGGCAAAAGTGTAAAATTATGGAACATGTAAAAAACGGTTTTTTGTTTTTTTTACAATAACTTTTTTTGTAAGCGGTACAGAAAAAATTCCTTCCTTGGTACAAGACTCGACACCATAACGAACCAAATAGCGAAAAAGTAGAACAATAGCTCTTAAGATAAAGAACTAGTAGCGTCGCAAAGTTAGCGGACGGACGGACGGACAAAGTGGCCACAATAGCGCATTTTTTTTTTGTGGAAATGCGCTAAAAAAGGATTCGAGAAAATTCGTGGTGACGTAATCACAAAAATTTCGAATTGCTCACGTGACTATTGCAGAAAGCAGAAAAATTTGAAAGTATTTTTATATAATGCAAAAATCAGATATTTAAAAATATAAAATTGATGAAATAAATTTGTGCTTGAAAGATAAGATTTGGAAAATTGAGGGTTGGGAAGGTAAGAAAAAAGACAAAATCGACAAACATATAAGCTGTTTGTAGCTTTCCCCCTTTCCAATATGTGTTATATTTTCAATTTTCAACTTTAAAACTTCAAGTTCAAGTTCAATGTAAATTCCAAATTCAACGTCCGAATGGTTGTCGTTAATTAGGCCACCCTCTTCGGTTTTAGAGCCCTTAAATGGTGCATTTAAATATTTGTCTGTGCCGTAAAATTTAAGTTTCAACACATTCCAATCTTCAATGCGTCAAAATTTTCAAAAATGTAACTTCAGCACTTTCTATTCTTTTCATTTTCAAGTCATCTTCAATTTCTTCCATCAATAATAATTAATTTCACCTGATGATGGCGATTATCGCCGAAACTATAGTCGTGTTTTAATAGTACAACAATAAATGTATATGGGGAAGGCTTTGAGATCCGATTTTCTTAATCTTTGATATCAATCACTCAACCCCATTTAGAGGAACGATGAATCATGTTCAAAAATTGCATAACATTTTCCAGATTGAAAAATACGAAGACACGAGCGAAGAGTAGTGTAATAGTTGTAATGCAAATTTTGTGGAGAAGAAAATTAAGGAAATAGTAATTGGGTGTACCGAATTGTAACGACCAAAATGTTGCTTAAAATCATTGAATAAAATAGTGTTTTTATTCAATGTTAAAATGTAAGGCATTACAGCTACTTTACGCGTGGCATATGGAAATGCAAGTCTAAATTAACGTATTGCGTAAAAGCATTAACTTGTTGGAAAATAAACACCCCATTCGCATATAATGAATTGGGTGCGTTGAATATTGATGTAAAAATATGCATGAAGATAGACAGAGAGTGATTTAATTAATATGCTAATTTGACGGCTTTATAGTTTTTTGTTTGTATTTTTACTTGAATTCTAATCTATAGGTGTTGAAATATTGTTATTAAACAATAGTTAGGAAATGGGGCGAGGCTATGTTTCACGACGATTGGCTCTACAATAAAGATTTACTTTGGGTGGGGGATTCCCCTAAAACCGGTACGTTTAAACAATCGCTGAAAAAGGAAGTTAAACGTTTCTTGCGGTTGCACCTAAACATACGCAACTAATTTAGTCAGCAAAAAGTGCGCGCGTGAGAGAGGGTGCTTAAAAATGAAGTTCGTAATTGAACCACGATCGAGTGTGCAATATTTCAATAGTCAAAAAGATGAAAACAATAACTTCACTGTGAATAGGAAAACGACGAGATCTTTATTTGGACTTCCAAAGATTGAGGATATTGAAGTGTTATTGGAAGAACAGCAGAAGATTGACATGGATAGGTTTAGAATTAATTTTGGCATTGACATCGCCCAGTTAGACGAATGTGCAGATTCCCGGTCGATTTTGTCAAGCAATTCCAATGAAGGCAGTCGATATAGGAAGCCAAGAGCGATTATGGGTAAGAAAGGCGCGATTAATTATTTAAGACACGTGTTTGCGAGTCTGTAAGTACACCTAATACAAGATGTAGACCACGTATTGTCGTCTCGCCTTAGTCTGTAACGGTGATAATATAATTTAAAATCCATTAGAGCGATTTCAGATGATAATTTTAAATTGTACCAAGACGAAGAGTGAAACTTAACCAGCTCAATTAGATTTAACTGAAAAATTATTGAAATTAAATTAATGAAGATAAGACACCCTCGTAATTGACGAAAATTGTTTGGGGGAATAAGTGTTTTATTGCATTTTGTCGTGTTTTGTCAACTTCAATTCAAGCTCTAATTTGATAATTGCGAAACGAGGTTAAATTGAACCGTTTTCATTTCTCTAAATTGTTGGAACAAATTAATAAATTGGCCATTATTCGTTTGGTTTAGGTATACGTTATTTTTCATAAAGTTGCAAATATTTGGACAAAGCAAGCCATTACCGTTTTTCGGTCAAATGCCGGAAGTAATCTCGTCCAGTAACTCTTTCTTTAATTAACCCTTGAAATACCGGAACGACTAAACTTAACTGTGCGTGGATTCCGGTACATTTAAGTTCATTCTTTGTGTGAAAATTTAACGTTTTTGTACCATATATCCAACAACCAATACTGATTTCATTTATTTTTTTCAAATTTAACAGGGCTACCAAACCAATAACTATGAAATGAAAAGCGGTGTAGTGGAACCAGTTATCAAATGAAACCCTTGTACCTATATAAAGTGGCTGTTTGTTGTCTGAGAAAAATCTAAAATGGTAGTTTGGTGCGAAAACAGGTTCCTGGAGGGAATTGTCAACAAAATGCGGTAAACTGTCATTATCTAAACAGGAAAAATTAATTTCAAGGATCATGTTATTTAGCTTTTACTGCCATTCTACATGCCTAGTTTAGAAACCTTTTGTTTTAAACTACTTTTATATAATTCGTAATTTTGATATACGAGTACATAACGAGGGGGACGTTTGATGGCAGGTATACCTTTATTGTAGATAGCATTAAACCTCGCACCCCAGATATCCTCATATAAAAATTGTGATATACATTCCCTGATTTAGTTTTCTGTTTAAAGTTACTTCTGCAATGCAATGACTCGATCATGTGGTCGGAATACGTAGTTTTAAAAACACATAAAATTCCCTTGGGATCCAATAAATCCACGATAAATTTAAAATGTATGCAAGGGGGGCTTGCATACATTTTAAATTTATATATGCATGGGGAGATCGTGGATTTATTGCATTTTAACCCATTTGAAGCAACGAACCTTCTCATCATGTCTAAAATTCCCTTCTTGCGTATTAAGATTTGTTTATTTCTTTGCAAACGTGCTATAAACATGAATCCCAATAAATAAGTGCATAGTACCTAAGTACTACATTCGGAATTCGTGCATAAGTTCCAAAGGTCACAAGAAATCACCATACAGTAAAAAATATAGCCAGTAATTTTGAATAAAGTGTGCAGTTGGAACAATTAGTCCCTGATTACAGAAAAAAATCCGCCCAGAATATTCGCCTCCGGAAAATTTGCCCTTAAGAAAACTGATCCCCAAAAAAATTTGTCCCCGAAAGATTCGCTCCAAATATTCTCCCCCGAAGGATTCGTACATCCAGACGATCCTCCCCCAAGGACAAGTATACCTCCGCCGCACTTCTCGCTGGACAGGAACACGAATCAAAAGAAAGTTTGAAAAGGATCACAGTAAAATCGTTTCTAAAATTTGGTTCCAATAAATTCTTCTTCGGAACATTCGTCTCCGCAGGAATACTCGACCCCCACGAACTTGCGGAAATATAATGTTCAGAAAATCTCCAATTAGTGCTATGATGCCCTTAATTCTAAGTCTTCTTCTGGGTCTATGACAAAATACGACCTGGTAAATTCGCCTTCGAAAATTTCATTCAAAAGCTCGCCCCTCGGTACATTCATTCAATTACGAAAGATGTGCCCCCGAAACAATCGTCCCCGGAATACTAGCCCCAAAGGAAAATTCACAATGCGCGAGTAGTTATCACTTTCTAGTGCACTGCTATACATATACAATAAACAAATGCAAAAATAATTTCTTGCAACCCCTTGCGTCACATATAGAAATCCACCCCCAATGTGTTTATAAAATTAATACGGCAAAACGTGGGTGGTTATCACTTTCTAGTTTGTGCAGAAAAATACTGCTATACATACCTATCCAATAAATAAATGCAAATATAATTTCTTACAACCCCTTGCGTCACATAGAAATCCACCCCCAAAGTATTTATAAAATTAATACGGCAAAACTCGGGTGGTTATCACTTTCTAGTTTGTGTAAACATTATATCTCAAGCCGCACCTGCACCTCCAAAAGAGGTTCTGCTAGTGGTGATCTGCAAATTTGGAAATTCCTTATGCCCTAATAAATTTTAATAACTACCCCACACACGTGCTGAAAATTCGATAAGAATTGTATAATACATTTGTGATCATTTTCCTCCCTTTCCTTTGTGTGTTACTCCAGCCGCAATAATTTTTTAAATACAAAATGAACAATAGCACCCTCGCCCCTTTCACGCAGGTTGTTTTGGAGACACCTGAAGTTATGTATCTCAGGCACTGAGGCCAAGCTGCGTAGCTCGAAAAGCGACCTCCTGAATATTTATTGTGGTTTTATACTTATAGAAATGGAAATCATTACAAAGTAACAAAGGATTTCTTTCCTGGAACTATTTATCATTGTTTACAAATTGATAATAAATTAAACGTTTAGGCTGTTCAAACAGAACAGTTTCCTGTTAGTTGCAATATTTTAATTAGTATGACGAAGTATTGTCATATCTGAATACTAATTTACTAATCACTGTTTGCTCAAAACTATAATTGCGGCCAAGACTATTGATCTGGGAATTAAAGACAAAGAGCTGACGGGGTGGGGTGATTCACTTAAAGGTATTTCGTTAACCTTCCGCTTTCTTGTTTCAGATTTGGACAAAAGGAAGACGGGAACCACCGCCAACGCAAAGTCGCGCACAGTAGAAAATGCAAAGGAAAATACAAGACTTCTCATGTGATTTACTGTAGATAGTTTTAGCATTAAGGACATAGCGGAATATAATTTATTTTTATTACTATAACGTATACGCAATCATCGTTTTGTTTTACATTACTTATACTGTAATAATTTTCATTTAATATGATCTAGTCTTATTTATTTATTAATGTATGAGTATGTAAGATATTAAAATTATGTTTATATTTCCCTTATTTTTTATTTGTGCATTGCCGACAGGAATTTGTTTATGTGAGTCATTGGTTCAGCCGTTCAACGTAAAAATGCCCTCTCGGTTTCTTTTTTTTAAAGAATTATGTGGTTCCACGTGTGTGGTCCTATGATTTATCATAAATTCGATCGGCCGATGGTGTTTTAGTCACAACTGACATTTCTGAAGTGGAATGATTTAGGGCACGTCATTTCGTTACAAAGGTAAGTGCATCAGATCGATAGACGACGATGAGTTTTGCATTTTTCTGAATGTAAAGTCGTACTAATTTGTTAAAATGAGCCGAAAGGAATTAATGTAAAACTATAAAAACTCATGCTACCTGTTTATACAATAAATGATGAGCGGGAGACGTTTAATTATAGCCATGAGAAATATTTAGTTATTTTTGTTTTGAGTAACCTATATTATGCCTAATTTCAGTTCTCTTATATCTTCTAATAGTTTACAATTATTTTTTTTTATAAATTTGTTAACTGAAGGTATAATTTGTGAGGATTTTATTAGAAATATAAATGTCGGTCAGTTTCATTAATATCCCACATAGAAGCTTGTTTCATTCAACTTTTTGTACGCCGCGCCGCCGCCGGTGCAATTAGTGATTTGCGATCGTAATTATTCGGTCAATTTTTTTATATGTTTTATGTAGTGTTAAATCCAAGTTTTGGACCTTAACAAAGATCTGGGTGAGCCGCCATCTTAAACAATCCAGCATACATAGCGGAGTTACCGCATATTTCTTCTCAATGCACATTTCCGTTAAAGTAGCCTTAACAAATTTTGAAGGGCATGAAATTTCCTACACCTCTGATAGTTTCCTTTTTTCTCTAATTCTATTATGAATGAAAAGTTACTGATTGTATCTTTGTTTATTATGACGCGATAAAGCAAGATTTACATAACCATTGATTAACCTATTTATTATATGTTAATCAACCTTATAATATAAATCTTAGATCAAATTCAAAATAATCAACGATCCAACTGGGAGCGCTGTGTGTGTTTCAACTGAAATTAGCACCGAAAATTAGCAATAAATATTTGAATCGGAGAGAGATCAAATTTCACCCCATTTTGTAGACTTAGGTACGTTGCATCTCCTTTATGTTTATTGCTTAGGCTTCAAACTATTGGAGCTTCAGTTACCCTCCTCTTATCTTGTGGACCCGCGAATTTAGAATCATTGTTTTCTTGGGTGACTTATCACACCAGTAACCATGCTATTTGTACTTCTTAAGGGGGTGACTACTCAAACTGAAGCAATGAGACGATATGACTGAAAAAAATGTAAAAGGTTTGTAGATGATCTGGAAGCTGAACAATGAGGGGAGTGCTGTAGTATTTGCCTTCATGCGAAGCCAAAAATAGAGGTAAATATAATATGAAGATTATGCATTAGAGAAGCGTTGGCACAGTTTGTAACTGCAGCCTTTTATAGGTGTTGATTTTTTCGAAATTGCTCTAGGGTTGAGTATTTTTAAAAGTTTTCTAGGGGAAGTATATCGGGCGTCTCCATTATAGTGTTGATCATTTCGAAATTGTCGTAAATATACATTTTATATGAGTTTGGTAGAATTGAACTTTTCCCTTTTCAAAACAAAGAATCAGTATTACGTATTAAATTGGATAGCGATATTAATACATGACATTAGGAAACGGAATTCTTCCTGACAATAGGCAATAAAAACCGCCACTAGTAAATACCCATGAAATTCACAAATTTACTGGTATATAGCAGTTTATAGGAACAGCATAACTTTTTCCAGTTGATATCTAGTGGTCATTTCTGGTTGTCTTTACGTTACTGATATCTCAGGCACCAACATTCTGTTCTTAGTAAGTACTCCCTTTTGAATGACTCGAACAGAAGGATTTTGATGAAAGATATTTTGAAATTTCGACCAACTATTGTATGTCTAAATGGGGAAAGTCGGGTGAGATATCTACCGCCCCGTTATATTGACCGGGTTTACAGTCAATTGACAATAATGAAGAAAATGGTCAAATTCCAGGTTTCGAGACTATTGTAATTAATTAGTCTCTATAGCCTGTTAACGAAAGGAAACAATGAAGAAGTAAAGGACATTTACCATATGCCACGATAGTTATTCGATATAACAAAACGCGATTAAATTAATGAGCGTTTAGAAAAATGACACCCTTCGATACCATCTGCCATTTATGTGGGAGAAATGAGATACGAACGTAATTGTGTAAAAATTCATGCGTAAAATGAAACAAAACACCCCCATTTGGAAATTGATAACGCGACATGCGACACACGTGTTTATTAAAATTAATCATAGAGGTTCGGAAAACGTATCCCCTATGTATTGGTAACTAGGAATAAAAATGTCGTCGGCATTTGCATTTTTCTCGATGTAGGTAGGCAAAAGAGTGTTGCACAAATTTCAAGTGGGTTATAAGCAGCTGAAACACATAAACCTAAATAATGATGAAGATCAGATAAGTGGGACGCGTGTTTTGTATTTGTCAAGGTACCCGCACCATCGAATTCGTTAAAAGGGTAATGACAATGTGTTCACGTATGTTTCGTTTACGATAACATCGGCCCATTGAGCACCGCACCACGTGCCCAATACGATTTCCTCGATAAACGATTTAATAGTACCGCAGAGAGAAGGTAATTGTTCTCTTGCAGGACCGATAACGATGGCCTCTTCAATCTTTCATTCAGCTACTGCATCCGATTATTTGATTCGAATGCGTGTAACCGTTATAAATGTGGACGCGATTCATTAGCGATGGATGAATGAATGAATCCCTAAGAGTATTTCCGTAAGGTGAGGGTGTGTTAACGTCATCTCATGTGTGGTGTGGAAGTTCACATCCGCCGTAAAGCATACATTTGGACAGGATATTGCTCTTCCTGAGCGTAGGTATCGTCTGGCTTACCCTTGCGTAAATCATATCATGTGTTTAAAATATTGTCATCTTAAAAAAAATGAACCATTCATTTTGAAGCAGCGGGATTCAATCAGACAGCATTACGATCCGCTTGTGCATTCAAGACGAGTAATTTTACGTTTATTTCTATGCATTTAAAAATGCAACCTTGACGTGATGGCGCCACCATAAAGTGTGGAAGTAGTTTGCGTGATGATCTACTCAAGATGAATCATTTACAAATTACAACAACAAAATTTCATCAATTTTAGTACCCATAACAATTGTAACTTGTAAGGATCGTACACACGTAATTTATCTGTACTGTTCCAAGTATATCCTCCGACATATAAAATATGCGTTCAAATCTCGGTTCAAATTATTCGCCCAAATATCTAGAAAAGGGTGATTTGTTGATTATAGTAAAATTATAGTAAAGCGAATATATTTCCTAATCAGAGAAACTACAAAGAAATATTTCTGCGCGAAATCATCAAGTGGGGACGAATTTAATTAGTATTTCCTGAAATATAGAATAAAATCTAACGACAGAACTATATTATATACCGAATCCACATTGTAAGTATTAGACATGATATTTTTTTACAGAGAACATTTGTTATATTATTGACGTTAAAACGTTAGATTTCGCATTTTGGATGCAGCGTGGGGTGAAGATTTCTTGATTTACTTCTTTATTTATTTATTCATTGATCTATTTACTATTTCCTATTTCCTAAGCTATTTCGGTATAAAGATGCATTTTATCCGCATAAAATTTGGGTACAATTTATATTTGTTTTGAATTTAGTAAGAAACATATACAGGGACTCGGATACTTTAAAGAATCAGCAAAATTTCAACTCCGAATCCACCACGAAAAGAAGCATTTCTAAGAGTACCTACATATAAAACGAAATGGGGGGAAAAGCGAGGGCATAGAGAAATCTAAATAATACATGTTTATAAGCTCATATGATATTATTGGTGTGTTTATATAGAAATAAAGCAGTTAAAAAACCTTTCGATGGAGAAATGACGACAGAAGAGGATTTACTTACTGAACAATGTGAAAAGATAATTTAATCATGAAAAGTTACTGTCATTTAATTTTAATTTGTTTATAAGCTCATATGATATTATTGGTGTGTTTATATAGAAATAAAGCAGTTAAAAAACCTTTCGATGGAGAAATGACGACAGAAGAGGATTTACTTACTGAACAATGTGAAAAGATAATTTAATCATGAAAAGTTACTGTCATTTAATTTTAATTTAAAAAAAAAGAGTTATTAGAAGCTGAGTAAGGCCATCATTACTCTTGTTTCTTTTGGTTCGCGGTTCTATTAACACTAATTCAATGTTTAAACATGCGCGGCAGATTGTGTACTATCAGCCTCGATAACTTGTGTCTGATTTATTAGCATATTATTAGCAACTGAAAGTAGAGTCATTTTAAATGTCCCATCAGTATTATCGAATCAACAAAAAAAAATCTGGAAAACGTGCGTCGCCTATCATTGTATTTCAGCACTTTCATGCTACGACAAAAAATGATAAATTCGTTGTAAAACACTTCAATTAAAACAGAATTTTTTAACAACCTCAACTCCAATTAGAGAGACGTGTTAATAATTTATTAATAGTGCAAGAAACTAAATACAGCACATATTTATAAATTTCCAACGGGCCATTATGATCTACACGCCAGGTGGCAATCGCCACCCGCCACCCCGGGCCAGTGAGCCCCTGGTTATACACTGCCTATTTTTGAGCCCCGAAAAAAAAATTGTATAGAATGTGGGCTGTAGAATCCATAATTTCAAACAGTTCCAAGATTGGGCTACTAGTTCAAAAATTACAGCCCTTTGAAATTTTTTTCGAAATTGGTTTCTAGTCAATAACTTTTGATTGAGAAGTCTGATCGAAAAAGTACGAATTGATTTGGAATCTACGCACCCAAATTAATAAGAAAAAGTGTTTTCCCGAGAAATTTTAGGGTAGTCGATT